AAATATTTTATGATATAATGCAGATCAATACATAGTTTTTAGCAAAACACATGTGACATATATTCCATATCTATATCCAAACTTCATTCAAGATTGTATCCTTCAATTCTAAAAGATACATTAAAAATAGACAGCAAACAAGTGCTAACAATAGAAGTCTGTAACTATGCTATTCTAGAACTATTATTTTCTAGCATGATTTCCTAAACATGAATAATACATACTTGCTGTTCAACAGTACTTACTGAGTTCCCAGGCTCTGGAGAGGCAGAGGTGAACCAATCACGGCCCCTGCCCTCAGGGAGTTTGCAGACTAGTCTTAAGAAATGCGACCCAGGATAAATATGTGGTTGATTGCCTTGAACTAGTCCATTTCATCAAGTGGCTAAAATTATAAATTTTTTCCCATAATACATTTGCTTTTTTTCAAAAACAAAACTACACAATCATTAATACCAATTGATTCAGTGGTTTAGGAGAAAAGGCAAATAATAAGCAAACATTACAAAACTTCCACTTAATTGCAAAAATCAATCTCCTAAGTATTCATATAGACCCTGTTGAGTTCTTCTGGAACCCATGTAAAGGTTTTGAAATTTTTGGATCACAATATTTCTCTACCATCATTAAAATTGAGTAATGATTGCCAAAATTGCCAAAAATCTCCTGAGGGTTAGAGTTATCATGACATCTTAAAATGCCTTCATTTGACAAGTTTTACAATAATTCCAAGACTTTGCCATAGTTATGATTATATCTGAAAATAAACCTTTCTTCCCTGACAGGATAGATTCTTTTGCTTAAGATACCAGCAGAAACTGAGGGAAAGATGACAGTGTATTGGTTCCATGGAGTGGCTCTCAGAATGCTATGAAGTAAGATCAAAACTTGAAGTTTCAATCAGTGACTTCATACCTGGTAAAACCAATGACCTCTACAACTCCCTTGTGTGTGTACAGGTGGAGGGTGCAAAATCCCCCCAGAGGCAATTGCTCCTGCAGTAATTGTGGGGAACCAAACACATTCTAATTCAAAGGTCATGGTCAGGAAACACCAACATTACTGCAGTTATTAACTCTCAGTTGTGGAAGAGGACAGAGAGAAAGGAAGACATAGAAATTTAAAATCACACTGACTGCTCTTGCCTAAAAAATACAAATCGGTCTTTAAAAATGAAGTCAGTTTTGAATACCTAATATGTGCATTTCTCTTCAAACTTTTGTATCTGAACATCCTTCCTGATTATATTGTATGAAATTTCCCCCCAATCTTTTTTTTTTGGTAGCAACCTATACTGTATCTCCCCTTTATTACTATTCATGAGCCCCTCAGTGTGAGCGCTGTTTAACACAGATGGGGTCTCCTGCTGTGAAACAAGCACTTGGCCAACAGTGTGACAGAGCTAATTCCTGAAGTCTGACAGGTACCCTTCAGTCGTTTTATCTCTGTATCCTAATTTCTCAGGTACACAGCATCTTTGAAACAATTTTTTATATATTTTAGTTTCTCTCTTCCCCAGTCAGGATCATTCCATGAATACAGAAACATACTTCAAAAAATTAAGGAATTTCAGAACTTTTAGTTACAAGAAAAGCATATTCATATAATGCTCAATTTAGAGTATGTATAATATCAAATTCAATATAAGCCAAAGAAACTATTCTAAGACTCAAATTCAAAGAAATGTAATTTAAACTTTACCCTTCTGTTTTCCACTTTGCAAATCTTTATCCTTGAAGAGCGTACTATGTAATCATTTTCCATTATTATTCTTTTCTATACTATCATAAGTTATTTTTTACTGGGTCAGTGCAAAAAATTGCTGTTCCTAGTGATTACCTTTTGAGGTGATCATCAATAATATTAGTCACAGCCGCTAGTACATAATACAGCCAAAAGTTAAAAACTATTTGATGTACTTTGTCATTTTCTAATACAGTAAGCAGAGTAATTGAATGTAATCATGTTATAACTAGGTGCATATATTGGACAATAGAACATTCTAATGGAATTAAATTTCTGTTTTGTAAAGGCAACACATGAGCCAAGTTGGGAGAAATGAATGTTTAGAAACCATAAATAATCCTTTCAACCCATGACAAGCAATTTTACTTGCACACAAATGGGTGATTTTTAAATGAACCTAGATTCACTTTTTGGCAAGTACTTTACAAAGATATAGTTTATACCATCAAAAACTATTCAGTTGAGTACAGAAATGGCCTTTAAGAGATCCCATTCTAGAGAAATATTCCCAACGAATATTTTTTATCAAGCCAAGCTTCTATATTCCCATTCCCACAATTAATCATTTCCTGTAAGTATACTCTCACACCAAAAACTTGGCACAAAGAGAAATGTGAAACAGGGGATAGAAATGTTTCAAGAAGCAATACTACCAAGTACTCTTAATCTCATTCTATCCAATGTCTCCAGTTTCAATTTAGTGGACAGAGAAGGTACCCATCCTCACCAGGAGGAATCGTACCTAAATAATGAGAAAGATAAAGGTCATTTGCCCTTTGCTTGCTTATATCTCACTACCTTTCCTTTCTTCCAACACCCACTTCACTGCCTTTCTTTGCTCTTCAATTACTCCAGACTTATTTATGAAGCACCTACTATGTGTCAGGGATGTGCCTAGAAAGTGAAGAATCAAGTGAACAGAAGCAAACATGGTGTGGGTACCCCTCATGGAATGTATGGTCGAGCACAGAGGAAAGACCTAAATTAATAAACACTCAAGTAGAGGTGATATTATTACTGTCATGAAGTGCCATGAAGGGAAGGTACATCAGCTCATCCCAGGAGGGCTTGCTGTAGCCAGGGAGGGAAGGCAGGCGAGCTCTTCTCTAGGCAGGGATCCTTGAGTGGGCATCTGAGCTCGTTGGGAGTAGGCAGACATGGAAGGCTGGGAAGGGGGAAAAGAGGAAGCACCTCAGGCAGAAGGAGCGGTACGTGCCTGTCGGAGAAGAAGCAGGATGCAGTTTAGTGAGCAAGCAGGCAGAAGTGGGGAATGGGATGAGGCTTTACTGGAAAGAGGGGTCTGATCATGCAAAACTAAGCATTTTCATTCTAAGAGCAATGAGAAGTCACCAAGAGATTTTCAAGCAGGGGTGTGGGGTGATAATATTTGAAGTGAACACTCTCACCACTGTGTGAGCCACAGAATCGGGGAGGTAGGGAAAGAAGAAAAATAGGGAGAGGATCACATAAGAGCCACTGAGGTAGTTTAGGAAAGCATGTGGTAGAATTACCTCCAGGACAGTAGAAGTAATAAAGATCCAGAGGTACAGAGAAAGCTGTACTTCTAGGAAATATTTGAGTGGTAAAACGTATAACTTAGGGGTGGGTTGGATATAGGATATAAAGGGTAGAGGAGGTATTAGGCTAATTCTAGGTTTCTGGCTTTGGCAATGGGTAGAATATGGCAACATTTACTAAGAAAGAAAACAGGGAAGGACTAGGCTTGTTAAGGGAGTAGGGAGTTGATTTGGACATGACTTCCAGGTGTCACTAAGGGGACATTGTCAAGAAGACAACTGGGGAGATGGGAGATGAGTCTGGAGTCTAGGGAAGAGCTGGCCGGAACCACTTATTTTCAAGTTTTCTGTGCACAGGTGAGAATTGAGCCTGGAATGCGCAGTGGACTGCCCAGAGCATGAGTCCAGGGGGAAATAAGATTGCCCAAAGGCCAGCTTGAGAAAATTCAATATTTAATGGCTTGAAAGATGAGAATCAATCTGCAAAAGTGGCTTCTATCTCTTTGTCTGCCTTAGTGAAAACATATGACCTAAAGGCCAAGCAGGAGAAGATGAATTGATACATAGCTCCTGAAAGGTCATTACAAATATGTGAGAGCTGTATTGGCAGAGTAATGTGGAGTATGTAGAAACCGAACCAGAGCATGTGGATGGGTGAGTGGGAGGTGAACAAACTGAGACTCTGGGAAAGTCTGCTCTTCATGGCCTTCTGGACTCAAATGCGGGCCGGCCCCTGATGTGAGCATCCTTCATGGAGTTGCTCTGTCAAGTCTCCAATATGGAGCTGCTTACGTCAGGCCTGCCTGCTTTCATGCCAGCTGCCTCTGTAAATATATCCCAACATGCCGGTGACCACCCAAACCAGATAACTCCACCTGTCAGGTACGTCAGTGAACACCTGAGCTGGAGAACACCACACGTGGACTGTCCCTCTTATCTTCGACCCCCAAATGGATGGACTGACCTGTATGAGGGACAGGATGCAGAGCCCCTGTGGCAAGCTCATCCTAGGGGTCCCTGACACCAGACCACAGACGTGTGCTCCCAGGATTGCTCCTGCTCACCTGTGTGCATGCCTGCTCCATCAAGGATGCGCCACTCCACGGGAACTGGTCTCTGCTGCATTGTTTTCCCTTGGGGCAGATGAGAGGCCGATCAGGACAGCCTGGACCCGAGCCATCCATCCCAACCAGTATGAGATGTATTGATCCATGATATGTGTGATTTTTAGATATTTTATTAAATCATAGTATTTCTGAGTCCCGTTTCATCTTTTATTAAATCATCTAATCCCCCCTTTGAGTGTTCTGTGAAAGGAAATTGCAAAATAAACCGTGTGATTTGTGCAGCCATAAGGGTGGTAAGCTCATTACTCCATCACCCTGCAGATCCACACCACCTGACCCACTCGCATCAGCCCCTCACAGTACCAGTCTTCCCCAAGTGGAACAGGGCTCTGACAAGGCTCCACCTTCACCTCTGGCCAGAGGTTCCCTGCCATAGCACCCCTGGGAGTCCCACACCTACTGACTCAGATACTCCCAGCTGCACAAATCTGCGCCCAGTCCATTTGCTTCTAGAACAACTCTAACCTTACACTTAACCAGTGAGCCTCAGATTTTAGGTGTTCACTTATCACTACCATAATTATTAAGTGCATACACCTCCTGTGCTATCATTTACTTATTGTGTGTCTTTAAATCAGCCCACTTTAAAACATAAACTATCTTTCCATGAAATTTATGCTAAGATAATAGATGGAAAACTGTCATTATTATAAATGGAGGGTAATCATTAATTAAAAATAATGAAAGCAAAATGTTAAGTTCAATCTACTTTGGTTCATTGGAGACTCTTGAACCTGACATATGCTTTAAAATAAACAAAGAAAAGGTAAGCGGTGCTGGGTGGCAACGGAGATGTTAAATATACTCACCCCAAACACACTTAAACGGTTTCATTCGATGATGTGCTTCTTCTTGCACAAGTTCAAAACCTGTAGTGTTTTCAGTCCATAAATTCAGAGATGTGAAAAACAACAGTGACCTTCTTTCCTAGTTTGCTTTACACTATCCTATCTCACAACAGTCATGCGAACTCCTTAAAATCTCCTCCCTATAAGGTTATTCAGAGAATTAATTAGTATTTGTCACAGCCTGCAGTGAGCTATCCTCAGGGGTCAAATCTAAAGAACTTAATGTCATAATATAAAGTGTCAATTCATTCAAGAAACATTTAGTGAGCCATGTATACTGCCCTCAGCACCAGGGTTCAGGCAAGCATAAGACAAAGGCCGTGTATTCAAGGAGGTTAATACCAAGAGGGAAGATAGACAGGTAAACAAAATCCTAATTTGGAGTCAAAAGCACAACAATAAAGTTAAGAAAAGGTAGAGGTGAAGTATTTAACTATCTGGGCTGGGAGGGAGTAGACGGGTAGGCAGATTGTCAGAAAATCTTCCTAGAAGAGATTTACACCCGCACCCCAGACAATCTTTGCTTATTACATACTGAGAGGTTTTATTGTGTGTGTGCCTAGAGCTACTGGATAAACTTCTCTTAAATGTCTTCTTACTTGGTATTTACATGAGGTTTATCTTATTCAAGTTTAAAGGATATTTCACATTTATTAGTAGTTTAATTCTTCTCCTGGGTAGGTAGGTTTCCAGTTATCAAGGAAGCAGGGCTTGGCTGAAAGAGCATTGCACCATGAGTGATGAAACCCATCGGCTCTGCCTGGGGCCTGCTTAGTACCCATGGGGACTTGCAAAATCATAGTATTTCTGAGTCCCATTTCGTCTTTTATAAAATAAAGATATTAAAAGCTGAATGTTTTGATTTAAAGTAGCCTAGAATTTCCATTTTTTATGCCATTTACTGTGAAGGAGAAAAATGCTTAAAAGGGATAATTTAATTACAGGAAGTAGATTCTAAATTACAAAGTGATTATCAAATAACTATGAATGGTATCAAACATATGACATCCAATGTAGCTATCTTGAGGGAAAGAATTTAATCCAAATTTATTTCAGTTATTTATGGGGAAGAAATTTATTTAATTATGAGTAGATATTAAAAGGATCACTTAAGTCTTTCCAAAACACAAGCTACATAAATAATATATGGAGTATAATCCCATTTGTTATAAAATGAAACAAACCATTATAATTACATTTGATTCAAACAAAATGCACTGAAAATAGTCCACTAAGCCATATACTAAACTTTTAGCAGCCGTTATATAGGAAGAGGTCAGTGGGTGGGAAAGAGGTGTTACACACAGCAAAAGGCAGCTGATGATAAAGAAGTGAAGGGAAAGTGGGCAGGGATAAAGACAGATTAACTTTTGTTCTATATAATTGTGTGCTGTTTGAATATTTTACAGTAAGAATTATTCATACTCATTTACATACAGATAAAATTTAAATACCCAAGATTCTGGGTTCAAGGAGACAAAGTAAGCATCCACAGTCCTCCAAAGACTCTTGAAAAAACATCAGACAAAATGACTAAAACAGTACCAGCGCAAAGAACGGGGCATGACCATCAGCCCAGCAAGGATTTCAACAGATTTCTTGGAGACAAACCAGATTCAAATAAGTTGACGGTGTAAATTTCAGGGTCGGTCTAAGTCTGAACACAGGGGAAGATTGACGTCCCAGCTGGAAGACAGAGCCAGGCACAGAGGGAGAATTCTTTCTTACTCAACCTTTTATTCTATTCAGGCCTTCGGGGATTGGATGAGGCCGGCCCACAACGGGGAGGACAACCTGCTTTACTCTGGCTACAGGTTCAAGTGCTCTTCTCACTTGGAAACGCCCTCACAGACACTCCCAGAAATAGTTTAACCAAATATTTGGGCACTCTGTTTCCCAGACAAATTGATTCATAAAATTAACAATCACACTATTTAAGAAATCTCCAGGAAAAACCAAGGACAACAGGGAAGATGAAAACAAGGACACCAAAGGGAATTTTAGCCTCTGACATCACAGCCACAGTGGACAGCGACCTTGGCCTAACTCCTAGCCAGATAAACACACACACCCTGCTAATGGCCTATATGCCTCAGTTGTTTTGCCTGATATTCTCAGTCTGGCTATAGAAAATCACAAAACATGATAATGGGGGAAAAAAAACAAAAACACATCTTGAAGAGATAGGGAGCATCAGAACCAGAATGAAATACGGCAGGGATTTTGGAATTATCAGGCCATTCATTTAAAATAACTATGATTACTATGCTAAGGACTCCAGTGAAAAAGTGAACAACATGCAAGAATAGAGGGTGGAAACTCTAAGAAAGAATCAAAAGGAAATGCTAGAAATAAAAAACACTATCAGAAATAAAAAATGGCTTTGATTCAGTTCATTAGTAGGATGGACATAGCCAAAGGGAAAAAATCAGTGGATCTTAAGAAATGTCAGCAGAAACTTTCAAACTCAAATGCAAAGAGAAAATAAAGAATAAATGGAATGAACTATTCAGGAACTGTGGTATAATTCTAAAAAAGTGTAATGGGAATTCCAGAGTAAAAAAAGGGAAAAGAATAGAAAAAATATCTGAAGTAATCACGGCTAAGAATTTTCCAAAATTAACAACAGGCACCAAATCATAAATCCAGTTCAGAGAATACCAAGCAAAATGAATGCAAAAAAAAAAAAACAAAAGGAAAAGGAAAAAAATCTAGACATATCATATTCAAACTGCAAAACAAAGACTAAAAGAAAGTCTGTAAGAAGGGAAAACAAACCAAAAAAATCCTAAGAAAATAAAGAGTATATAGAACGATTGTGAGAAACTGCTAAATAGAAGAAAAGATGCTCCATTGGGCCTTGATGCTACCTTCTCCCTAAAGCGGCATGGGGTCAAGGCATTAGACCCACAGAGAAGGAAATGGAAACTTATATAAGATAGCCACAGTGATGTAAAGGCTTTTTACTGCTTCTCAGGTTGAAGTATTAACCCATAGTAATGAACATTATTAGTTACGGGTACAGAATAAATTGTTCATTTTTAATTTGAAAAATGTAAAGGCAGCGGTATAGGTTTCAGATAATGAGTGATGGAGAAAGCAATGGGGGTGATGCCCGAAAGGATGAGACGGAGTTGGTGCACGGAGAGACAGGGCACGGAGCCAGTTGGAGGAGGTCTCTCAACAAAGTGCCGATGACAGCTTTATTTATACCATTTTGCACAAGGATATGAGTATTTTTTATTGTTCTGTTGATTAATAAGTATAGGTAAGCTTTTTTCTTTCTATTTCTTTCTAATCTATACATGGTTAGCCAAGTGTTAGACAGGTGACCTTTTTTCTGTTCCTTGACCCAAAACCTTCCTAGCAACATGTACTCTGTCATGTTTCTCATTTCTATACAACACAGTTTGTAAGTAATGCACGTGATCACAGAATCAGAAAATCTTCCTAGAAGAGATTTACACCCGCACCCCAGACAATCTTTGCTTATTACATACTGAGAGGTTTTATTGTGTGTGTGCCTAGAGCTACTGGATAAACTTCTCTTAAATGTCTTCTTACTTGGTATTTACATGAGGTTTATCTTATTCAAGTTTAAAGGATATTTCACATTTATTAGTAGTTTAATTCTTCTCCTGGGTAGGTAGGTTTCCAGTTATCAAGGAAGCAGGGCTTGGCTGAAAGAGCATTGCACCATGAGTGATGAAACCCATCGGCTCTGCCTGGGGCCTGCTTAGTACCCATGGGGACTTGCAAAATCATAGTATTTCTGAGTCCCATTTCGTCTTTTATAAAATAAAGATATTAAAAGCTGAATGTTTTGATTTAAAGTAGCCTAGAATTTCCATTTTTTATGCCATTTACTGTGAAGGAGAAAAATGCTTAAAAGGGATAATTTAATTACAGGAAGTAGATTCTAAATTACAAAGTGATTATCAAATAACTATGAATGGTATCAAACATATGACATCCAATGTAGCTATCTTGAGGGAAAGAATTTAATCCAAATTTATTTCAGTTATTTATGGGGAAGAAATTTATTTAATTATGAGTAGATATTAAAAGGATCACTTAAGTCTTTCCAAAACACAAGCTACATAAATAATATATGGAGTATAATCCCATTTGTTATAAAATGAAACAAACCATTATAATTACATTTGATTCAAACAAAATGCACTGAAAATAGTCCACTAAGCCATATACTAAACTTTTAGCAGCCGTTATATAGGAAGAGGTCAGTGGGTGGGAAAGAGGTGTTACACACAGCAAAAGGCAGCTGATGATAAAGAAGTGAAGGGAAAGTGGGCAGGGATAAAGACAGATTAACTTTTGTTCTATATAATTGTGTGCTGTTTGAATATTTTACAGTAAGAATTATTCATACTCATTTACATACAGATAAAATTTAAATACCCAAGATTCTGGGTTCAAGGAGACAAAGTAAGCATCCACAGTCCTCCAAAGACTCTTGAAAAAACATCAGACAAAATGACTAAAACAGTACCAGCGCAAAGAACGGGGCATGACCATCAGCCCAGCAAGGATTTGAACAGATTTCTTGGAGACAAACCAGATTCAAATAAGTTGACGGTGTAAATTTCAGGGTCGGTCTAAGTCTGAACACAGGGGAAGATTGACGTCCCAGCTGGAAGACAGAGCCAGGCACAGAGGGAGAATTCTTTCTTACTCAACCTTTTATTCTATTCAGGCCTTCGGGGATTGGATGAGGCCGGCCCACAACGGGGAGGACAACCTGCTTTACTCTGGCTACAGGTTCAAGTGCTCTTCTCACTTGGAAACGCCCTCACAGACACTCCCAGAAATAGTTTAACCAAATATTTGGGCACTCTGTTTCCCAGACAAATTGATACATAAAATTAACAATCACACTATTTAAGAAATCTCCAGGAAAAACCAAGGACAACAGGGAAGATGAAAACAAGGACACCAAAGGGAATTTTAGCCTCTGACATCACAGCCGCAGTGGACAGCGACCTTGGCCTAACTCCTAGCCAGATAAACACACACACCCTGCTAATGGCCTATATGCCTCAGTTGTTTTGCCTGATATTCTCAGTCTGGCTATAGAAAATCACAAAACATGATAATGGGGGAAAAAAAACAAAAACACATCTTGAAGAGATAGGGAGCATCAGAACCAGAATGAAATACGGCAGGGATTTTGGAATTATCAGGCCATTCATTTAAAATAACTATGATTACTATGCTAAGGACTCTAGTGAAAAAGTGAACAACATGCAAGAATAGAGGGTGGAAACTCTAAGAAAGAATCAAAAGGAAATGCTAGAAATAAAAAACACTATCAGAAATAAAAAATGGCTTTGATTCAGTTCATTAGTAGGATGGACATAGCCAAAGGGAAAAAATCAGTGGATCTTAAGAAATGTCAGCAGAAACTTTCAAACTCAAATGCAAAGAGAAAATAAAGAATAAATGGAATGAACTATTCAGGAACTGTGGTATAATTCTAAAAAAGTGTAATGGGAATTCCAGAGTAAAAAAAGGGAAAAGAATAGAAAAAATATCTGAAGTAATCACGGCTAAGAATTTTCCAAAATTAACAACAGGCACCAAATCATAAATCCAGTTCAGAGAATACCAAGCAAAATGAATGCAAAAAAAAAAAAACAAAAGGAAAAGGAAAAAAAATCTAGACATATCATATTCAAACTGCAAAACAAAGACTAAAAGAAAGTCTGTAAGAAGGGAAAACAAACCAAAAAAATCCTAAGAAAATAAAGAGTATATAGAACGATTGTGAGAAACTGCTAAATAGAAGAAAAGATGCTCCATTGGGCCTTGATGCTACTTTCTCCCTAAAGCGGCATGGGGTCAAGGCATTAGACCCACAGAGAAGGAAATGGAAACTTATATAAGATAGCCACAGTGATGTAAAGGCTTTTTACTGCTTCTCAGGTTGAAGTATTAACCCATAGTAATGAACATTATTAGTTACGGGTACAGAATAAATTGTTCATTTTTAATTTGAAAAATGTAAAGGCAGCGGTATAGGTTTCAGATAATGAGTGATGGAGAAAGCAATGGGGGTGATGCCCGAAAGGATGAGACGGAGTTGGTGCACGGAGAGACAGGGCACGGAGCCAGTTGGAGGAGGTCTCTCAACAAAGTGCCGATGACAGCTTTATTTATACCATTTTGCACAAGGATATGAGTATTTTTTATTGTTCTGTTGATTAATAAGTATAGGTAAGCTTTTTTCTATTTCTTTCTAATCTATACATGGTTAGCCAAGTGTTAGACAGGTGACCTTTTTTCTGTTCCTTGACCCAAAACCTTCCTAGCAACATGTACTCTGTCATGTTTCTCATTTCTATACAACACAGTTTGTAAGTAATGCACGTGATCACAGAAACGTGCAGCATGTAGCAGTGACTATGGAGTCTATCAACTCAGGGTGAAATACAGGTCACCTACTGCCACAGTTAGCTAGGATTCTTTCCCACAAAAATATTTTTAGAGGCTTTAATAAATGTTTGATTAACTAACTATAGGTTTTGGTATTTCATGCCAAGATCGCCATCTGACCCCTGTGTCTTCCATTCTTTAGAAGCACTGTCCTCAAAAGCTTCTGGGAAACTTATGTCCTCGTCTTTTCCGTGCTGCTTAGCAAAGGTTAGCTTAACCCTTGGCAA